TGTCTGCTGGCTTGCAGTCAATTTCAAATGAAACTAAATCCATCAGTCAAAGTGGAGATCGAGTATTTTCCTGTAAAAGGAGTTTAGCTGATTCTGATAAAAGCTGGTTTTGATAGAACTCCCTTCTAAGTGTGTATGCTTAGCATTTGGATTTGTAGGGCCTACAAAGTGAGGGGCATTTTGGCTGGCAGGGGCAAATTTTGAGGGCAACCATTAATGGTAGCGTCTAGAGCCATTTTGCCCTCTAGGGGAAACAAATATGGCAGCTGTAAGCCTGAGAAGAACACAGAGGAGTGCTGCCTCTGAAATTCAGACTCCTATCATGAAAATGCAAGAGTTTCTTTTGAAACTCCTCCTGAAATTTGCCCATAGGTTCCTGTTCAGTACATTCTGCCCAGAGCTTATTTTCAAAGGTAGCATGATGGTTCCAGTTAATGGAGCAATACTGGGATAAGACAATTCCCTTCATGCTTCAAGGAAATCTGCTTGTCCTCTGTGAAAAACTGGGCAGTGGTTTAGATGATCCAGTTCTTATGGGATATGCAGTACCGGTAGTTTGCTTTATAATGAATTGTCACCCATCTCTCTTCCTCTCAGTCTTCTCTTGCTCATTGGTTTTCCTGGTTTTCAAACCTAAATAAGTTTGCTTGAGTTTTTTAAACTCTCGCTGCTCCTGTCAGGCTGGTTGTTTGCTGACTCAGCTCTATCACATTCAGCACTTTCGTTCATCGATTGATAGGAGACACTGCTTTCCCAGGTACTGAGTCAGAGACAGCAAGCAAGACACAGACAGGCTGGCAGCAGCAGGAAGTTTACTAAACCTAAAGTGGTACAGAACCCAAATTCAATACTGCTACAGGGTAATCGGTTCATTAGCATCCAAATTAATATAATTGCAACAGCAAATACCGGGGAAAGTTACGAAGCAAAATCCTACTGGTTTTTGTAATTTTACTTCCTCGTGAGGAAAGCTTCCTAGATCAGGCATATTATGACTTAAAGGTAAAGGTAAAGGGACCTCTGACCATTAGGTCCAGTCGTGGACAACTCTGGGGTTGCGGCGCTCACCTCGCTTTACTGGCCGAGGGAGCCGACGTACAGCTTCCAGGTCATGTGGCCAGCATGACTAAGCCGCTTCTGGTGAACCAGAGCAGCACACGGAAACGCCATTTCCCTTCCCGCCGGAGCGGTACTTATTTATCTACTTGCACTTGACATGCTTTCGAACTGCTAGGTTGGCAGAAGCTGGGACCGAACTACAGGAGCTCACCCTGTAGCGGGGATTCGAACCACTGACCTTCTGATCAGCAAGTCCTAGGCTCTGTGCAAGTTGCTTTATTCTTTTGCCAGGTGCTTTATTCTTTGGACCACCACAGATGTCAATCTGGAGACAAGACGTGGGCAAGCTCCATAACATAGGAAATACTATCTAGAAGGCATTTCACTGTTGTGAAGAACATACAATCAGGCCTAGCAATTCAGACCTTCCAAGTGTCCCTATTTTCCAGGGACAGTTTTGGATTTGCAGAAGCTGTCATGGTTTCTGATGTGATTCCAGAATGTCCCTCTTTTCCTTAGGACACCCCTATTTTCATCAGAAATGTTGGAGGGTATGGCATTACATACCAAAAAAGAACATTTGCTTGACTACTACACAAAACTTCCAAAAGAGAGTCATATAGTCAAAGTGTGGTATAAGTCTTTTCCTTCCAGCTAGGAAGCTGTTTGCTCTTCCTTCTTGGTGAAACTGTGAACAAAGCTTTCTACTACACCTTGTTTAAAATTGGTAGGGCCGCTAGAAGGAAGAACATTGCTTTTGGAATTAGAGTGGACCGGTTGGCCATCTGTTGGCTACCATTCCACTGAAAACAAAACAGCACCACTCCTCTTGCAAGCTTAACAAAAAAATGAAGTCTCAGTCCAATAACATGCATGCAACCAGGGCTTTTCACATAGTGCAGGAAAAAAAAATCCCTGAAATACTACAAGGTAAGATGAAGGAGACCTGAACCTGACCCTTTTAGTACCTTTGTTTGGTGAGATTCTACCTTGCAATATATGTGCTTCTGGGTTGTTTTGGTGGAAGTGAGTGCACCTAGCTGCTGGACAGATTATGGTGCAAGTGATTGGCGTTTTTTGGGGTTTTTATGTTATTTAACCCCATTCTCCTCTTATGCGCTGTAACAAGAGCAAATCCAAGAAATATGGTAAGCATGATTTTAACTTAATTCCTACTATGGATTGCTAGCCCTACCATAACAGCCCTGTCAGTTCCTGTGCACTAGATAATTTTTTTTTAAAAAAACTGTTATAAATGACAGAAGTCATCCTGTCACTTTGTTTCATAAAAGTGACAGCTTTGGGAATTCAGCACATAATAAGGAGGCAGGCACTGCTGCTTCCCAAATTCCTGACTGATAATGCAGGATTATTTTTCCTTTTTTAAAAAAGAAAGTTGCAGTGAGCCCTATGTGTTCCCTGCCTTTTCCTACTTCCCAATAGTGATTTATAGCATGAGTTTTGCGAAATATTCCATGTAGTCTTGCCTATACAGTGGTACCTCAGGTTACAAACACTTCAGGTTACAGACTCCGCTAACCCTGAAGTAGTACCTTGGGTTAAGAACGTTACCTCAGAATGAGAACAGAAATCACATGGCGGCGGTGGTGTGGTGGCAGCGGGAGGCCCCAATAGCTAAAGTGGTACCTCAGGTTAAGAATGGTTTCAGGTTAAGAACGGACATCTGGAACGAATTAAGTTCATAACCAGAGGTACACATTGCAATATAAAGAAAGTTAATTAGAAGACCGAGTGAAAGCTCAATTAAGCCTTAAACAAATTCACATCTTCAACTTTAAGATGTGTACTGTTCTGTAAAAAAAAAATCAAAATATATTACACAACATGATACATGGTGACAGGACTTTATGTTGATATTCTCCATTATTTTGTCTTCATAGTTACAGAATATTTTGATTTGACTTTTATATGCTTTCCATTTTATCTATACCTGGTTTAGCTCTGTAACCCATGAAATGCTGCTGTAAGGCCACCTGAGCTACTCCAGAATACACATTTTGAGGATTAGAACTTCAGGGCTATGTGTATTTTGGAAATTCACAATCCGCCTCAATATGAAAATAACAATCCATTTTTGGCCCCATGTAAATGACGCAAACTGCAAGGAATTAATGCATACAATGTTGGAGTAGATAGCATTAATAGTAGATAGCAATAGTAAATGCAAAGCAAAAGAAAACAAAGAAGTCCTTCTTAGATTAGCTGTTCCCAGTCAGATGCCCTTCAGATTTTTTGGATTTATTATGAAATTACTTGCCACTTAAACACACAAGAACTGAGTAAACTAGCTAGATTTTCAAAAAGGCACTGAAAAAGGAGGTAAATTGGAAGAAAGCAAATGAATAATTTGTATCAGTCTTTGCTACAAAATATGGTAGCCATTAATACAATTTATTTCATAGTGAATCTGAGGAACCTTGTCAAGGAGGGGCAATAAAGTTTTGGAACTAATTGAGAAATTAAAAAATAACAAGTCAGTGGGGCCAGATGGCACTCACCCAAAAGTTCTTAAAGAACTCAAATGTGAAACTGTTGATCTCTTAATTAAAATATGTAACATTGCTTAAATCAGGCTCCCTATTAAAAGATTGGAAGTTAGCCAATCTATCATCATTTAAAATTGGATTCTGAAGATTGATAACTCCACAGAAACATAAGTACATAATTTGCAATTCTTAATTTTTATTTTCTGGATCCATTTCAATTAGGGCTCAGCCCTGATTTTGGCATGGAAACTGCCTTGATTGCCCTGTAAGACAATCTTTGCTGGGAAGGAGCAGGGTGAATGTGACCTTGTTGATTTTCTGGACACTCAGTGTTTTTTGATGACCACAATAGTGTTCTGTAGAGGCTTTCTGATCTGAGGGTGGATGGGGGCACCTTTTTGGTGGTTCCACTCCTATCTGGATGACCAATTCCAGGAATAAATCAGTGCCTGGATATAGTAATGGGCAGGATGAGGGTCAATAAACAGAAAATTAGTCTGAGCAAGACGGAGGTACTGTTGGTGGTAAGTGGTGTTCGACTTGTTCTAGAAGTGGCCACGTTCTTACGAAAGAGTGGGTTCATATTCTAAGAGTGGTTCATATTCCATCTTTGTAGCTGGAGCCACGAATGGCTTGGAACTCATTTTAACAGCTTAGGCTGGTACACCAGCTACAACCAGGATCTAGTAACCTCCTGTTTGGACTACTGCAATGAATTGTTTATGGGGCTGCCTTTGAAACTTCAATTTATTAAGAACAGTTCAGTTTGATCCAGAAATTTCAGCTACGTAGTTCAGAATAAAACTACTATAGCTGGGTCTTGGAGATAAGAGCACATTGTACCAGTGTTTTGCCATCTCCATTGGATTCTAGTCTTTTTGAAGTTCAGCTCAATGTGCTACTTGTTATTTTAAGGCCCTTCATGGCTTGGGAGCAGGGTACCCTAAAGACTGTATCTCCACATGTAGCATCCCAGACTCTGAGATCTTCTCCAGAGGTGCTTCTCCAAGTGCTCCCACCAAGTGAAGCGTAGCAGGTGACTACAGGAAATAGAATAGTTGCAGTGGTGATATCATGGCCACGGAATGGCCTGGTGTCATTTAGCAAAGCTGATCAAGGAGAGGATGTTTCTGAAGACTGTGCATTACTTATTCCCATCAATTACAACACGGACTGATAATGGATGGGTAGATAAAATTGATTCCTCCCTCTGTCTCAGGATTACAAAATGGAATTGATTCAATCCCCGCCACTCCTAGAAAAGAAATACTTATTCAAGCAACATCTAATTAGCTGGAAGAATTAATTTGGGTTTTTCACTAACATTGATGGCTTCAGATTGAGCTGAAGAGAATACTGGCATCCCATGCTACGTCTTTCAAAGGTAAAGAAAGGGATAACATATTTGCTCCCAAAATATATTAATTTACAATTTCCGTTTCCCCAAATGTGAGCACCAGTATCATATATGTCAAATGTTAGTCAGGCCATATTGTTCAAAGAATCTGAACATGTATTATATGAAAGGTATTATATAATACATGTTCAAATTCTTTGCACAATATGACCTAACATATGACGTATATGATACTGGTGTTCACCTTTGGAGAAACGGATCCCCTTTTGTTGCTGTCTTTTATTATCATTGTGACATGCAGTCAAATTTTAGAAAAGAAGTATTTTTTTTTGTTAGTAGTCTATATTTCTTCAGATCAAATATGCAGACAAGACTATATTGCCTTTAGAATGCACATCATGGGACTATACCACTTGTTTACAAGTGCATCTATATTAATGTCTCTCTGCTTGTAGAAACCTAATGTACCCAGAACAGAGGTATTCTGAGTCTTCACACTGCCATATATGTGGAGCTTTTGAAGAAGTGAATGTCTACATATATTGGAGGTTCAGTGTCAGCATGCCTCCAATTCTTTACTGTAGATATTAGTCCATCAAATAAGACATCTTTTTTCAGATTGTGCTCAAACTCAATTTGTCAGGTAAATAAAGTTTACAATTAAAAGCAGACAACTACTAAACTCCCACTCAATTATGAATCTTTAGTGAAGAGGGGTGGGGAAAAATCTGTTTTCCATCAAATGATTGTAAATACTGTGGCAGACAGCAAGATAATATATTGACATGTTTTTAGAAATTTAGTGGTTAACTTGTAGATAAGGTTAATTTGTTGGTCGATAGATGTTTGTATATATTTTTGTAACAAAATAATAATGCCATGGTTTGTCATACATTTCTGTTGCATAAGCCTTCTATTGATACTTCTATGCTTCATTAAGTGGTAAGCTGCCAAAATAAATACAGTAGTACACATCTTGTCAAATTTATGACAAGGTTTAAGAGTTTAAGTTTTGTTTTTCTTTTTTTCCAAAATTGCATGTATTTGCTGGCTTTTGGTACAACTTCTAGAGGGTTTTTTTTGGATCTGGCTTAATATTATTTAGAAAATTGACAGTATATTTTTGATGTTTAAAGAATTCTTGCAAATTATTCTTTCTCCACATTACGTAACCTGACATATGTGTAGTGTTGACTTGAGTGCCTTTTAAATAGACATGTGCCATAATTGTCAAATCAATGACATATCCCATCACTTATGAAATCCAGATCTAGATTTACACAAACTCCTTTGTCATTCCATTGTGCAAACGAGAGCATGAATTGTCAAGCTGCATCAGATTATAAATCCATTTCCTCATAGTCTTTCTGCCAGAAGTGGCCACCAATATGTCTCAATAATATTCCTCTCCATGAAGATGTCTCAGAGAGGTTGGTAGAGCAGGGTCCCAAGCAGTGAAGTCCCTTCTATAGACCTTGTATAGGATGGGCTCACATCTTAAACTCTTCAGCTGACATTTTATGAGAGACAGAATCCCTCATTACAGGATTCTAGAACCTGCTTCTGCCTTTCACTATTGTTTAGAGCAGGGGTAGCCAGTGTGGTACCTTCCAGATGTTTTTGGACTATAACTCCCATCAGCCCCAGCCAGCTTGGCCAGTAGTTTTGAAGGCATCATGTTGGCTCCTCCTGGGTTAGGAAGTGTGAGGGACAGATAAAAGGAATGAAGCATAAGGGAAGGAGGGTGTGAATTGTGCTTAAGGCTTAAGAACAGAGAGAAAACTGAAGGAAGTTACATTGCAGAAGCCTGGGCAGAAAACATTGCATATAGCTTGGGATTAACTAAGGTCCTGAAGGTTAGCATGATAATGCAAATCTTTAAGGACAGGTTTTCTGACATACATGCACATGTGTGCAAGAAATATGAAATTGCACTCATATTTATGCTGCTGAGTATGAATAAGCAGGAGTTATTAGGATCTATTCCTAGCACTATACTTAGGATGTTCAAAAGACAATTTCACACAAACCCAGGTTTTAGTGTCCAGTCAACAAAGAGTTGTAACCAGTCACTTGCAAACACCAGTTTCCTTGCATTCACACTTGACATTTTAAATGCCTAAAAATTCAATTTATGAAGAAAGCCAGAAGAGGGGACAGGTAAATATATATATTTACAGTGGACAAACAGATGAGGAAGGTGGTATTTCCCCCACAAACTTATGTTTCCTGTGCAAACAGATTGCTCCTGGGTATGAACTGTCAATAAATACTTAAGAGATGCCTGGAACAGCAGTTGTCAGGTTATCCATGTCTTAAGTTAGCATTGAATTACACAAGCCAGGCTGAATAGGTGAAAGCTCTTTTTGTGATATGTAATACAGTGCTATCCTGTTGCTACTTGAAACTCATTTGATCTCAGTGAAATGTTGTAGATTTTTGTTTATTTTCTTTATGTCCAGCCTCTAGATAACATAGGAAGACATAGACAAGGAGATAGGGGATACTGCCATCTTATACGTCAGTCAAGCTTTTCAGTTCATCATAGACATTGACAGTTACACCCATAATAAGCCAAACACAGTAATCCTGTGTGAAAGCTGACAATATGGTATTTTGGTATTAACATAACTATACAAATGTGTGAGAAAGTCTTAAGACTCATTGTGACTGGCAGCTTGCAAATGGGTTTTGCTGTCACTTAATGGCAAAAAGGTATGTCACAAATGTTGTTTCAAGGACCAAAATATAGGCCCATACACACTATTGACTCCCATGACATCAGATAAACATTTAGGAAACACTACCAGTCCTGCTAAAAGAATGTACAACCTGTGGCATCAGGTATCTTCTTCTAGTATGAACGTGCCCATGTCTTAAAATCTCCTCTGCTTGCTGCCAACATGGCAAGGTGTGTTTGATGGGAATGTGTTTGATGGGAATCCTCAGTGCCAAAGCCTTCCATTATGGGCCTTCTACTGAATGTTAAAGACCAGGGTTACCCCAACTTGGATCTCCAGCTGTTGTTAGACTAGCTGTTTTTATCTTGTAGCTTCAGATATATAGCTTTATTGCATTTCTGCTGCAATGCTGTGAAATTTTTTTAAGCTGCCTCAGACATAGAATGTAGAAAGCTGGGATAGTTTTTAAATACATAAATAAATACAATGTCTCAGGACAACACACCAGCATGGTACCGTAGCTACTACACTGGCATTAGATAATAGCATAGCACCCATGCACAAAGCCACTGTGCAGTACAGAACTGAGTCTAGGCAACTTGGGTGGAGATGACAGACTTATCCTTGTGACATCATACTATGACCATCACTTTTCAGTTACCACAGATCTAGGTACATTACTGGGGGGGGGGGGAATACAATGGCCGTATTAACACGGTAGGTTGTGTATGTTCCACTTTACCAAGCACAGGTTGCTGTGGTGACCACATCACTGCCTGACATTATATATAATATCATCACCAGTACCGTCAAACTGAATTGTAAAGTATTACGATTTTTTGTAGGATCTGGCTCCATTGTGTCACTTCAAGATTGGTCCATGAAATGTTGCTCTGTGGTTGACTGCACTGGTAGCTGAATTTGTTGACAGTGGCTGAAAATGTTTCAAAATATTTTTAATTCCAGAGATGATGCTCACCTCACTCTGATGATTACTTGCCTCAATTATGAGACCGCTTACATTTTGCTACCTGATTTTCACAAGTCGAGACAGCTGCTTTTTCAGCTTAGATGCCCATATATATTTGTGAAAGGGAATTTCTGTACATAAATGAATTTACTGCAAGCTATAATATCCTATCTTTGATTTTCTCCAGAAGACAATTTCATAACACCCTTTTGAGGGGAAAGGGAATCTTAATTGGGGTTAAATGATCAACACTGCACCCAAACTGAGCAATGATTGAGTGGTTAACTCTTTCAAGGGACATTTGAGTGAAAAATAAGGTTTCATAAGCAATGTGGCATTTATATCAGCATCTACATTGGCATCTGTTTCTTTGCTTACTTGACTAAGGCAGAGAGCCTATGGATGCTTATTGATCACAGCGGGACCTATTTTCAAGTAAACAACCATAGAATTGAACTGTACATATGCATATAATGGAACCAAAATCAATGTGGGAAACATGTATATCAAAACACTATAGGACTTCTGGGTTCTGTTGGTGGTTTGATTGTCCATAGATGAACTATGGGCAGGATTCAGCTAACAAGTCCTGCTAGAGAAAGCTGGGACAAGGACTTACACTAGTGCCATGAGGTTTCACTCCCACCTCTCCACCTCCGCTTCACTTCCCACAATTCGGTCAGGGGGTTAGGGAACCCCAGAACAGCGCACAGGAAGAGGAGAGGTGCGTGTTAAGTCCCATTAAACTTAATATAGTTAACTTTTGACAAGTTTAGGGCTGCACTGTTAGTCATCTAAATTTGGTGTCTGTTAGAGCTTTATGTATTTGGAACACTATATAAAAATGCATAGTTGTTTATAAAAGTAAATTCATATTTTTATATTAAATATATTCAATACTAGGGAGGGCATGCATGACAAAGAAAATTGTCGTCTTTATAGAGTCATAGGCAGCATTAGCAAAATCTAATTCATTTTTAGAATTAGATTTTCATATTTAACCCTGAAAAAACTTTGAATCTAAAATATTGTTTACTAGAATTATACAACTTTAGGTAAATAATTAGTCCACATTTGCTACATCATTTGAAGATCTTACTATTCTCCTAATACTATTACTCTCTAGACAGGGGTTAACATGTTTAGTTCTGTCATGTGTATAAAACAAGCTTTCAGATCCTCAATAATCAACCAGTTGCTCTGTAATAATTAGCCATCATGTTCATCAACAATTTCATGGAAAATATAAGCTAGTGGTACTCTGCACTCTGGCATAAATTTGGCTATAGATTTGTATTATTATTATTAAAATATATTTTCAATATTTCACCTCAGAATAAATTATCTGTACATTGGGTAAAAATTGTAATTATCAGCAATCTTTTGCCGCTAATGTCAAACCCTTAAAATAGAACCACTTTAAGGCTAATTTAAAAGAAAGCTGAAAACATGTGTTTCAAGAAATAAATGTGACATATGATTTGTTTAAGTGTATGTATTTGTAAGAATTTAACTGTCTGCTATCCTGATCTGAATCATGTAGTATAAAAGGCCTGGCTCATTGACCAGTTAGGGTGCTGACTCTGGGACAATTCAGCCTGTGCAATT